AGAATTTGGACTTCATATTTTTTTTTTGAGGGATACAGTTCATTCCAGTCCGCACAAGTGGACCAATAATCAACATCATGATAAATGGAGAAAATGTTGAAATTGTCAAGGATTGCATTGTACTTGCATCCACAGTCAATGCCCATGGAAGTATCAGCCAAGAAGTAAAATTGCATTGGGCAGATCTTCTGCAAAAGACTTTACTTAGTAAAGTGTTAAAAAGCAAAGCTGTCAACATTCTTTAAGGACATGGAAAAACCAATCAATAATTTTATATGGAAAGGAAAGAGACTTCAGATAAGCACTGCTGAAGAAGAAGACAAGGTAGGAAGTCCTACACTCCCCAATCTCAAAACCTACTATACAGCCAACAGTAGTCAAAACAGCCTGGTATTGGTACAATGACAGACACATAGACCAGTAGAACAGAATTGAGAACCCGTGAATAGATCCATCCACCATTGATCAGCTGATACTTGACAAAGGGCTGAAAGCCATTAAATGGAGATGAGAGAGACTCTTTGACAAATGGTGCTACCAAAACTAGATACCCATTTGCAGAAAAATGAAACAAGATCCATACCTCACACTGTACACAAAAACTAACTACAGATGGATCACAGACTTGAATGTAAAACCTAAAAGTCTAAAGTTCATCAAGGAAAAAATAGAGACAAACTTAGGGCCCCTAATATATGGAATTAATAGACTATATAAATGAAAATACACAAACAACAGAAGATAAACTAGATGACTGGGACCTTCTGAAAACTAAATTCTTATGCACATCAAAAAACTTCTCCAAAAGAGTAAAATGAGAACCTACAGATTGGGAAAAAATATTTGACAATTAACATATCTGACAAGGGACTTATCTCTAAAATGTGTGGAAAACTTTGACACCTCAATATCAATAAAGTAAATAATCCAATTTTAAAAAAAAAGAGTAGAAGATATGAACAGACACTTCACTGAAGAACATATTCACGTAGCCAACAAACACATGAAAAAATGTTTGTGATCATTAACCATTCCAAAACCCACCAGATCCACTGCCATAGAGTCAACTCCAACTCATAGTGACCCCCATTGGGTTTCTAAGGTGGTAAATCTGTACAGAAGTAGATTGACCTATCCTTTTGTAGAGTGGCTGGTGGGTTTGAACTGCCAACCTTCTGGTTACCAATCACATGCCTTAGGCACTGTGCTATAAGAGCTCCTTGATTAGCCATTAGAGAGACACAGATCAAAACAATGAGATATCATCTCACCCCAGTCTGTTCAACAAGACAGAAAATAACAAATGAGGAGGCGGGGAGATTGGGACTCTCATACATTGCTGGTGGGTCTGTGAAATGGTACAAGCACTGTGGAAAGCAGTGTGATGATTGCTTAAAAAGTTGGAAATAGAAATACCATTTGATCCAGCAATCCCATTACTAGGTATGTGTCCTTAAGAAGTGAGAGCCAGGACACAAATAGATATATGCACACTTATGTTCATCACAGTGTTATTTACAGTAGCAAAGAGATGGAAACAACCTAAGTGGCCATCAACAGATGAATGGATAAGCAAACTATGGTAATACACACAATGGAATACTACACAGCACTAAAGAATAATGTAGAATCCTTGAAACAGCTCATACTGAATGAACTTGGAGGACATGATGCTGAGTAAAATAAGTTAATCACAAAAGGACAAATGTTGTATGAGTCCACAATTGCAAAGTGTTGAGGAAAGGTTTACATATAGAAGGAATCTTTCTTTGTTGGTTACCAGGGATGGGAGGGGAAAGGAGGGAAAACTGCTAGATAGGTAAGAGAGAAGTATTGATTTGGGTGAAGGGAAAGGCAGGGTACTAAAAGTGAGTGACCAGCACAATAAACAAAAGGAAGACATGGAGAGGTGCTCAAGAGGTACCGACAACAAAGGTAAACACTTCTACATACACAATACTGTATTATCAGTAATAAAAAACATTAATCTATAGGTGGATATGTGAGTAAACAGCCTAAATGACCAGGTTTGTCTAGTTAAAAGGGAGTTGTACCTGTGACCATATATAAGTTTGGCAGATGATGTTTCTACATATGTATTTGTATGTGCTATGAGAATGTCCATATTTATAATAGAGCCAACAGGGCAAAATTATGTTAACTTCTTAGCTACAGCCAAACACTCTGAGGGAATGAGTCATTGGCCCCATGGGCTCAGGACCAAGGTCACGGGGGACATCAAATTCAATTGGTATAACATACCACACAAAAACATTGTTCTACATCCTACTTTGGTGAGTAATGACTCGGATCTTAAAAGTTTGCAAGCGGCAATCTTCAATGCTGCAATTGGTCTCTCCTCTTCCAAGTCAAAGAAGAATGAAAAAAAGCAAAAACACATGGAACCAATTAGTCCAAGGGACTAGTGGACCATGCGAACCTCAGCCTGCATGACCCTGAGACCAGAACTAGATGGTGCCTGGCTACCACTGTCAACTACTTGGAGAGTGATCAAAATAGGGAATTGTGGATAGAGTGGGAGAAAAATGTGACACAAAACTCAAACTCATAAAAAGGACCAGGCTTACTGGTCTGATAGAGACTGGTGAAACCCTCGAGATTATGGCCACTAGTCACCCTTCTGGCCTGGAATTGAGCTCACTCTTGTGGCTTCCAGCCAGTGGACAGGCCTATAATGTGAACATTTATACCAGGTAGGTACTCTTAAAAAAATGAACCATGAGTGATTATAAGGGTAGCATTTGCACAGGGAGATAAGTCAGAGGTCAGGAATGCATAGGAAAGGAGACAGGGAAAAAGTAACCAAAGGGAGGAACTAAGAACAGAGCTGTTACATTATGGGGGTTTGCAATCAATGTTATGAAAAAGTGTGTATAAACTTGAATGGAAAATGAATTTGCTCTGTAAACTTTCACCCAAATCACAATTTAAAAAAAAAAAAAAAAAAAAGTCCTCAAGGCCAAAATAGGACCTTGAGTTTATTCCACCCGAATTTAGAGATCATCTCAAGAATATATTTGATGCATTAAAAACTCATGACCAAAGATCAATGAGTTGTGGGATGATATCCAGGACATTATTCGTGAAGAAAGCAAAAGGTCAGTAGAAATACAAGAAAGAAAAGACCAAAATGGACATCAGAAAAAAAACACTGAAACTTGCTCTTGAACTTAGAGTAGCTAAAGCAAATGAAAGAAATGATGAAGTAAAAGAGCTGAACAGAAGATTCCAAAGGGTGGCTTGGGGAAGACAAAGTAAAAGTATTAAAATGAAATGTGCAAAGACCTGGAGTTAGAAAACCAAAAGGGAGGAACACACTTTGTAAAGATTACAGCCAAGAAAGCAACAACGTAGACAGAGATGCATGTAAACACATAATCTCTGAAGATGATGGAGGCAGATGAGTCTACAAATCAGGAGCTCCAAAGATTGTAAGCTACTAGAAGCTGAAATAAATAAGAAAGGACCTCTCCATATAGTCAGTGCCTTGAATTCGTACTTTTAGCCTCCTGAACTGTGAGAAAATAAAATTCTACCCTTCAAAAAAAGACCGGGCTTACTCGTGTTGATAGAAACTGGTGGAACCCCAAGACTCTGGCCCTTAGACATCCTTCAAGCCTGGTACTGAACTTAACCCCTTGGGTTAACTTTCAGCCAAACAGTTGACAGCCCTCTAAGGTGAACCAAAACACCAGGGAGATCGCACTCCTTAGAGCAAGCAACCATAGGAGACCAAAAGAGTAGCATTTGCCTGGGGACAAAGCTCAGAGGCCAGGAAGGGACAGGAAGGAAGGACAAATGGAAATGGGAAACACAGGGAGGAAGTAAGCAGAGTACTGTTTACATTCTGGGGATTGTAATCAGTGTCATGAAACAGTGTGTTTAAATTGTTCAACAGAAAACTAATTTGCTCTGTAAACTTTCACCCAAATCACAATAGAAAGATAAAAAATATATGTATAGTAGATTAAATTCTAAAAAATGAAAATGTCATCCTACTTAATTGGCATAATAACATGTTTGGTGCTTCTGTTCCACCTCCTAGTTCATTGTGTAGTGCCTGGGGTAAAAGCTTGCAAGCAGCCATCCAAAACACAGCAACTCGTCTCTGTTTGCCTGGAGCAACAGAGAAGGATGGAGAGTCAAGGATAAGAGGAGGATATGAAATGTGTTGCTAATTATTTCCATGAACAACTGTGACCTTTGCTGTGAGACCAGAACTGGATGGTCACTGGTTACCATTACTGAACATTTTGATCAAGGATTCAGTAGAGGAATTCTGATCAAAAAGGGGAAATGCAGAACAAAATTTCAAATTCTCATGGAATCCACTTTCTGGAGCCATGGAGGCTAGATGAAATCTTGAAGCTATTTCCTTGAGATAATCTTTACACCTTAAACCAAAAATACTTCCTAAAGTCTTCTTAAAACTAAAGAGTAGTTAACTAGTAAACATTGTCTGACTTGCGCATTATGTTCTCTTAAGAACTAACTACGTGGGTCCTTAGTATTGCTTCATTTATTCAGTCCATGTTGTTGTTGTTATGTGCCATCGAGTTGGACCCAACTCATAGTGACCCCTCCTTGGGTTTCCGAGGCAGTATCACTATGGATAGTAGATTGCCCAACCTTCCTTCCAAAGAGTGGCTGGTGAGTTTGAACCATCAGCCAGTCCATTCAGTGGTCTTATTTCTCCCTTAACTACACTTAAGTCTGCATATAATTTTCTGCCCTTTCCACTTCAGGAAAAGACTTTCTAATAGGGTAACTTTTTGTTGGAGTCATTCTTACTGTCAGAGTATATACTAAAAGTGAAGACTCTACTAGCTTCATGTAAATAAATGAAGGCATTTTTCTAGTTCATTTTAACACCAGTCCCTATCCCACTGATCTCTTAGAATTGAAATGAATTTAAACAATTATTCTGCCTGTTTGTTTTGAATAATACTCATGTCTTATCCTTCCTTCCTTCGTTTCAGGACTCAAAGTGAATCGTCTGGATATGTATGGAGAAAAGTACAAACCCTTCAAGGGCATAAAATACATGACCAAAGCTGGAAAATTCCAAGTTCGAACCTGAAGGGAGAGCTTTCCAGAGGAACAGTCACAAACACTTTCTCATTTCTTACTTGTCTAAAAGTGAAAATGTCAGCCTGTCTCCTAGGTCAGTCCCCTCCTGGATCCACCTGCTCCCTATTTTCCTTAGCCTTCAGTGCCATGGAACCAATCAAGGGGAAAAAGAGTCACCAGGGAGAACTAGACAGAACTGAAATACGATCAACACCAACTCGGTTTTCAAAGAAGAGATGTACGACAGAGGACAGAGATACTTGACGCCATATTGAACTGTTTTTTGACACGGTAACCATAGAGAATGACTAGCATTTGTTGCTTGCTTGGCTTTAATTATCTAAAGCCAATGAAAGACTTCTTAGTTCTTTTATTTTTTAAAGGTGGAAAGAAAGATTACTTGGAAGAAAGATGAATGTTAGTCAAAAGAGGACCAATTAAAGATATGAGGGAGAAGAAGGAGGAAAACAGTATTAAAGAAATAGAGAGAAATTACAGTGAAAGATTGGCAAGAAGAGTGATGAAGCTCCACATTTTAGGAGGATTGGAAGGAAAAGAGTTGAGTGGGTTTCTTTCTGATCCCTCTACTCTCATCTATAAAAAACATTTGTACTTCGAGAAGTGAACTGGAGACCTCTTAAATTCAAATCCACTATTGACATGGAAAAGCCTAGTAGAATCAAATTTAGCCTTGAAGACAGTGTCTGACAGGCTTTCAGATACTATATATTGCTTCCTTTGGTAGTCTGTAAGGAGCTCTGGTGGCACAGTGGTTAAAGCATTAGGCTGTTAACCAAAAGGTCTGTGGTTTTAACCCACTAGCCACTCTCTATAAGAGAGAGATGAGGCAATCTGCTTTTGTAAAGATCTACAGCCCTGGAAACCCCATAGGGCAGTTCTACTCTGTCCTAAAGGGTTGTTATGAGTCAGAATCAACTCAGTGGCAGTGGGTGAGTTTTAGCACTCTGTCATCTTCAGTGGTTGCCTGGAATGCCTCTTTCCCTAACCCCAAGTAATTTTACTCATTTTATTTCCAGAATCCACCAGCCTTTTTCCTGTTACCTTCTGCAGAATTTTCTTTAACAAAAAAGAAAAAAAAAAAAAAAGGAAGGTTTCATAAAGACCAATTCCATAACCCCTAGTGCAGCCAGATTTTGTGTGTCATGGTATTGGAGTATAGATGGCCAACTTACTCCCCAGTGATGTGGATCACAGCTGTAATTGAGTACTTCCTTGTTTATGCTTGTGAGTGCTGACTAGTACTGGGTCCTAAGTCTTCCTGTATGAAACTTTTCCATCAGTAGCCCTAGGTAGAGAGAATGCTTACCATCAAGGGCATGATTGAGCCTTGCAAGTGGTTAGAAAATTATTTCTTCATAGTGGTTGGTTTTATAGAAATAGATTGCCCAACCTTCCTTCTGAAATATATCCCTTAGCAATAGATAACTGCCAGTCTGTTTTTGTTTTAAGGAAAAAAAAAAAAAAAAACCCTTCCAAATCTTTAAATAAAATTAATGCAATAGGAAATTAGGCCATGTTGATCATGTGTAAACAAGAAACATGGCAACTGAAGGAATACCTCAGACTTCCCCAACAGGTCATTTCTAATCTAGTTCAATGTATCTATTACCCATTTAAATATTTATATAAAAGATGAGTTAGTTTGTTTTTTATCATGTTGTTGTTGTTGTTGTTTGCCGTCGAGTCGGCCCCGACTCATAGCGACCCCTCCTTGGGTTTCCGAGGCAGTATCACTACGGAAGTAGGATTGCCCAACCTTCCTTCCGAGGAGTGGGTTGTACTCTGTTTTGTGCATGGAGAAAAATGAAGACATATGCTCTCTGAACCTCAGATTTTTTCTCGAAAGCCCTGTTCTCAAACACTTGTACAAATTTGCTTCTAGTCTTATTTTCCTATGTCCTGGACTTGTTTCTGCTGTAAAGTAATGTTGGTTTTCCTATGAGATAAACTTGTGTAAAACTAGATGTTTCATATTCCCTCACTCCAGAATTTGTCCTGGATAATTATTACCTATGTATACACACCTACTGTGGGAGGGACCACTCGTGCTTGGTAAAGGACATGATACTTGGTAAAGTAGAGAGCGAAATGAGGAAAACCCTCAGTGAAATAGATTGCAACAATGGCTCAAACATAGCAACAATTGTGAGGATGACAAAAGGAATGGGAACTGTTGGACTTTGTTATACACAGGGCTGCTATGAGTCAGAACCAACTTGACCAACACCACCTAACAACAACACCACGATGGTAGGGGAAGCATCTCTGCCTATGAATTCTACAGTACTTGGAGTCACTTCTGAGGGCTCCAAGAATTTAAGTTTCCTAGCTCACAGGAAACAATGAATTTTGGTCCATGAATAGTTTTAAGTTTGTAAGTCTAGCTGTTTAATTTCTTACAGGGTAGCTCATCCTAAGTACTTGAGTCTAAATAAAGTGTCTTGAGTATGGGTCCTGATGTGAAACAACTATCACATCACCTGCATAGCAGAGCTCTGGGGCACAAGGAAGCATCATTGCTGCCACTCGGTGGTGTGTCCATTTGCATAAGTTTGTCTCAACAGAGCTATTCAGCTTCATGTGTGTAACATGTGATGAAGTAGCTGTTTAATTCTTAATAAAGTTGAGTTTTACCAGTCCTCTATGTCCTAAGTGTTTTTGTTATTAGGGACCAACAATAATACTATGCCATGTATGTCTCAGAAGAAGCAATTAATTTATTAGCTCAAGAGGATCTTACTACATTTGTACTCTTCAACCGGAGTCTTCAAGTCATGTGTATTTTGCCTGATCGTGTAGTCATCTGTGGAAGATGGGTGGTGGTGGTATTAATTCCATTTTAAGGTTGTGAAAAGTAAGGTCCAGATAAATTTTTTTTTTCTGGACTGTAAAAGACATCAAAGCTGCTCGTGTCTGTTCTAGTGTTTTCCCCATTCCTTTATCCTCTTTCTCAGACTGATTGATGCAGGTGTGAAATGGCTTCAAGGTAACAGACCTTCATGAAAGTAGAGCTTTCTTAGGACATAAGTCATTGGGAGTCTGGGTAAAGTGTACACACTGATAATTGTTGTTGTTTGTTGTTATGTGCCATCGAGTCGAACCCGTCTCATAGCAACCCTTCCTTGGGTTTCCGAGGCGATATCACTATGGAAGTAGATTGCCCAACCTTCCTCCGGAGGAGTGGCTGGTGGGTTTGAACTGGTTAGCAGTCAAGTGCCTTAGGCACTATGCTACCAGAGCTCCCTCACTGATAATTAGTACAGGTATAAAATACTATTCTTCAATAAACCACTCATGGCCATGAAAAAACTTTAGGACTTCTGGCTACTAACCACAAGTGTACCTTATTAGGAGTCCATTTAGCTTTCTTAGCTTGTTCTCTTTTTTTTTTCCCCAGTTGCCGTCCAGCAGTTCTATCAAATACAACTATGCTCCATAGGGCTTTCCAAGTGCCTCTACATAGACTTGAACCATCAACTTTTTGGTTAGCAGCTAAGTGAGTTCATTGTACCACCCAAAACACTCTCTGTCGGAGTCTTTATTAATATGTTTTTTCTCTTGGTCTGGATATTGTTGTGGCATGACCAGGAAAATTTGGTATAATATTTGTACTTTCCTCTATGACCAGTAGGTGGTGACTCAGTGCCAACAATAAGACTAATTTTTATTTTGTAAGCGTTTAGAATTGTTTAAAGGACACTTAGCTTGAAACTTATAAACCTCCTTCAAGATTCTAAGTACTGGAATTAGATTCTTTCACTTTCAAAAGTTAAATGTGGAGCCAAAGTTCATGATACTTTTTTGGTAAACAGACTTAAATGATTGGAGTTCTAGGAAGATAGTAGTTTCAATCAGTGAGTCTTTTCTAGATCTTTACCCATTAAAACTAACTGTCCAGTCACCTAGAAATCTTTCCTGTTCTTTGGATCTATTTAGCATCTATTTTATTAACTTGTTGTTGTTGTTATATGCCGTCGAGTCGGCCCCGACTCATAGCGACCCCTCCTTGGGTTTCCGAGGCAGTATCACTACGGAAGTAGGATTGCCCAACCTTCCTTCCGAGGAGTGGCTGGTGGGTTTGAACCGCCAGCCTTCTGGTTAGCAGTCAAGTGCTTTAGCCACTATGCTACCAGAGCTCCTATTTTATTAACTAGCTGGGGATAATGAGGAAATAATATTTAACTTCCCCTTATATCCATTGCTTTCCCGTGACAAGTTCTGGATATTGTATCCTGAATTCTCTAGCCCACTCTGGATAATAATGTATTGCTCTTTGACCATATTTCAGTATAATTGAATTCTAGGGCTGGGACTCTGCCCTGCAACTCAATCAGTGACCTCCTCTGAGTGATTGTCTTTACCCAGTGTGTGGTTTCCAAGACTGCACTCAGAGGAATGCTGGGGTCTTTTCATTTTGTGTTTCCATCCCAGGAGGCCTTGCTGCTTCATTTCATTTCCTTAATTCCACTGAAGAAAAGCTTGTCATGCAAGTGGGAGGAGATGAAACTGACTGAATTCCTGCCATAAATGTAGTTGCCAGGGATTCTTGCCTATTGCTATTCTTGAGCAGTGTTTTTCTGAAATGGCTGAGGTGCACATCTGTTTAAAATGAAAGCTGCCACTCATATGGGGGAATCTCACAAATTAGTAATCTGAAGTCAACAAATCTGTAACTTAAGTTTCTGTCGTGTGCATATATTGTAGTTCATTGGCCTAGAGACCTGACAGCTTCAGCTTTTCAGGAGAGTATTTATTAATTGATGAATCAAGCTCTTGGGCTTTAGAACATCTCTTTGTGAGTTTGAACTACTTTTCTTCCAGGAATCTCTAAACTGAGCAATTCTGACAATACCTCAAGAGATAGGGACAACAACTATGATAACCTTTTCTTCTCTCTAAGAAACTCAGCATATACCCAACAGCAAGTGTTGCATTGTCCAATTTATTCTTGGATCTTGGATGTCAATGATGTCAAACATGGTCAGGCAGCAGCCAGGAGGTTGGGTTGCATCTGAGAGTAGTAAGAAAATAATCCAAGAGAAGCAGACAGTGACACTATTTAACTAACATACTTGTGTGGACTGCTCTGGGAGTTAATTATTTCTGATATACAAAAAAGCAAAATAGAATAGGAAAAATTGGGATGCTGCTGTTAACAAGGTCATTCTTAGGTTTTTCCTTGCCCCCTCATTTCCCCTTTATACTACTGCACTTGCTGCCTAAAGAATCTTCCTATCTAGGCTAGTCTCTCTCCCATCTGTTTTGTTGCTGTTGTTGTTGTTAGGTGCCATTGAGTTGTCTCCGACTCGTAGCAACCCTATGTACAGCAGAACGAAACACTGTCTGGTCCTGTGCCAACTCCATCCTCCCTGCTATACCTGAGCCCATCATTGTAGCCACTGTGTCAATCCATCTTGTTGACAGCCTTCCTCTCTTTCACTGACCCTCCACCTAACCAAGCATAATATCTTCTCCAGGGAATGGTCCCTTCTGACAACATGACCAAAGTATGTAAGACCAAGTCTGGCCATTCTCACTTCCAAGGAGTATTCTGGCCGCACTTCATCCAGGACAGATTTGTTAGTTCTTTTAGCAGTCCACAGTACTTTCAGCATTCTTCGCCAACACCACAACTCAAAAGCATCAACTCTTTTTTGGGCTTCCTTATTCATTGTCCAGCTCTCACATGCATATGAGGTGATTGGAAATATCATGG